GTCAGAGCTGGGAGGGCCCTTAGAACACAGGATGTCAGAGCTGGGAGGGACCTCAGAACATGGAATGCCAGAGCTGGGAGGGCTCTTAGAAGATAGCAGAATTGTGGTCTGGCTACAAGAATCTTGCCTCTAGACTCAGAAGACCTAGATTCAAACTCTAGTACAATATAAACTGTTTGAGGGAGCTGGATGGAACAATGGTTAGAACACAGGGCCTGGAATTGAGAAGACCTGGCTTCAAATCCAACCTCAGATACTTACTAGCTGTATGACCCTGGGCAAGTCACTTAACTTCCATTAGTCTCAAATTCCTCATCTGTAAAATGGGGATAATAATAGCACTTACCTCCTAGGGTTGAGCACTTACCACAAGGCCTGGTAAACAGTAGGCGCTGTATACATGTTAGCTATTATCATCATTATTGTTTTTGTCTCACATCTCCAGTGCCTAGCACCACTCTGCCACACAGTAGGCGCCTAATAAATGGTTATTGAAATGAATTGAATTATCAGCCTCATATGACCTTGGATGAATAATTTCCCTTCTCTGAGCCTTAGTTTCCTCAGCTGTAAAATTAAAGGTTGGACCAGGTGGCCTCTAAGGTTCCTTCTATCTCTACCTCTATGAACTTCTGACCTCAGGAAAGAGAGTGCAAGGCTTGAAAGAATTGGAAATTGAGGGGGCCCAACAATTGGGGAATGGCTGAACAACTTGTAGTACATGAAAGTGATGGAATACTATCATGCTATAGCAAATGACTAGTGGGATGATTTCAGAAAAACCCAGAAAGACTTACATGAACTGATGAGTGAAGTGAGCAGAACCAGGAGAACACTGTACTCAGTAACTGCAACGTTGTGCCGTGAATAACTTAGCTCTTCTCAGCAATACAATGATCCAAAACAATTCCAAAAGACTCATGCTATCCACATCCAGAGAAAGAGCTGATAGAGGCTGAACGCAGATGGAAGCATACTGTTTTCACCTATTTTTTTGTTTTTGTTTTTCATGGCTTTTCCCTTTTGTTCCGTTTCTTCTTTCACAACATGACTAAATGTGGAAATATATTTGACATGATTGCACATGTAAAACCTATATCAGATTGCATGCCATCTTGGGGAGAGGGGATGGGAGGGAGAAAAATTTTAAACTCAAAATCTTACAAAAAATGAATGCTGAAAACTGTCTTTACATGTAATTGGAAAAAAAATTCTTTTGAAGATTTTTAAAAATTAAAAAGGAAACCAAAAAAGAGGAAGCGTGCAAGTCCTGGAAGTGTTTCCCAATCAGAATCTACTTCAGAGTGGTCAAATATCCACATTCTTTCCTCTGGGCAGTGTGACTAACTCTCCCGATTCAGCAGTTTTTCTTGGAAGGGGGAGGGGGAGGAAGAAAAAGAAGAAAGAGGACTCTGCTTTTCAAAGCTCAATAGCTCTTAAGCAACTTTTGTAATAGAAGTTTTACCAACAAGCAAAAAAAATGTTTCAGACATGTCATTGTTTAGCTGGGCCTTAGAACACAGAGTCCCTAGAATCACCTGTCTGAACTCAGAAAGACAGAGGTGTCTCCTAGCTGTCAGGCACCCGACATGTGGCTGCCTGGGATTTTTAACAAAAACTTCTTTTCCAAACCAAAGGAGCAACACTGACAATGCGCCAGATGCTGCTACCCAAGGACCCCGAGGGTGACTTGGGTCGCTGGGGTATCTAGTCAACAGGCTTGGCTCCACTTGAGGTTGCATTTAAAGCTAAAATGTAATGAATTACATAATTAAATAAACACATATCTCAAATACATACACGAAATGCTAATCATGGGGTCCCACTATCAAAAAATTTTTTAAAATGGTTGTCCAAGGGAGGCAGGTGTGGGTGAGCTAGATCTGGCTCAAACTGGCTGCTGAGAGTCAGTTGTTAAATTTTCAGTATGAATATTTACACCTCTGAAATCAGCAAATGCTACAAATCAGCGCTTGATATATTGTTTTGTTGACTGCCCAGGTTTAATACAGTGATAGAGACAATGTTCATAATAATGCAGATTAAACTTAAAAATGTGTTTCAGATATAGGTGCGGGGTTGTTGTTTTTTGGGGGGGGGAGGGAGCTGATTGTTAAACATTGGCCAGCATACGCCAGGGAAGTAGAAAGGGAGAGAAGGAGAGAGGAAGGAAAGGACAGATGGGGAGAGAGAGAGAGAGAGAGAGAGAGAGAGAGAGAGAGAGAGAGAGAG